AGCCACTCCACTTCTCTTGCTCTGCCTGGGTCCTACCTACTTGGAACTGCACAGCTTACTCCGTGGCCTTATCAGAGCAGAAAAGGGAGAAGACAGGGTAGGCAAAGAGGCCTGAAGGGACACGGGGAGAGACTTAGTAAAAGAAAAGGATCCAAAGTGATGTGGCAGGCAGTGCAGTTGAGAAGTACTTGCAAGGTAGAATGAATACTGAACATTCGGTGCATAATTTGGGCAATTAATGTTCCAGATGGGAGAACAGTTGTATATTCTTATTCATATTTTCCAAAGATTCACAGCCACTCAGTAAACTGTTTCCTGATTGCTGTCATCACTGGCATGATCCCAAAGGACCACACATGGCATAATTTTATTTAGGTGTGGTTTCCAGATGGTTTTTAATTTTTGAAATAAATACAATTTCCCCTCCTTAAGGCAGAATTCCCAACTAGTGAGCCATGAATGGGTTATAGGTGTGGCCAAATTATTGCTCTCCACGGCCTTCCAGTCCACTCACCTCAGCCCCGAGGTTACAGGCCCTGGGAAGCTCCTGAGAGGAGGAACATCAGTTCACTGGGCAGGTGTGAGGTTGGGCTAGCAGTTCTTAGGACATTCTGGCGTAAAACAGGTTAGAAAGTAGTGGATTAGCATCTATGTGTCTTTGAGAATGTCTTTCTTAAGATCCAGGTTAACTGTATGCAAATGCAGTCTCCAGTGTGCCACAATCAGAGAGACAAGATCCAGTTCAGAACCTGCAGCTTCACCGGTTGAAATTTCCCTTGAAGAATAGCCAGGCCTCAGGCAGCATCTCCCTCCGGCCCTTGGCAGGCTTCAGGCTTTTTCTTTCTCTCTCAAACCCCCTACATTCTTTCCTTTCTTCTTCTTCATAGTTGAACTATTTAACACGATGTTTAAAGGCATGCCTGGCTGCCTTGTGGAGATTCAGAGTTGCCATGGCAATGTGGCCTGTTTCTCCAAATTAGGACATATTCCTGCTGCCTTTAAAAAACTGTGGTATGCTTGCTTTCTCTCACACACAACTCCTTTCCTTCCCTGAATCCCTCCCTGCCTTTCTCCCCCAGAATGCTAATTTAAGTATCTGTCCCCCAAACTGGGTAGGTCCACGGGCCTGGGAGACACCTTCCTGATGCCACACCCACCGTCCTTGCTCTCTCCCCTCTCCCTCTGGGTTTGTGGCTATGGATGAGGCCATTTAGTGGCCTTCAGAGAGTCCTTTCTGCTAGCTTGCCTGATGCCTGTTTGGCCTCAGGTGGATTAAGAGCACATGAATTTCTGTGTTTCTAAAAAATCTTTTTGTGTACCTGGGCATGGTGGCTCACACCTGTAATCCCAGCACTTGGGAGGCAGAGGCAGGAAGATCCACTACAAGTTCAAGGCCAGCCTGGGCTACACAGTGAGTTCAGAAACAGCCTGAACTATACAGTGAGACCCTTTCTCAAAATAAATAAATGAATAAATACATACATACATACATACATACATACATGATAAATGTTTTGTTAGTGGAAAGAGGTAATAAAGGGACAGCTTGGGTTTTAAATATTATTTCTCAGAAACTTCTTCCCAGCACGTGATCATTGCAGAATACGCCGACATGATCAATGAAATCCAGATAAATGAGGGTGCAGGCGCCTTGTCTCTTCCCTTGTAGCTTATTTAGGGTCCCAGGAAAATATGCACAGCAAGAAAATTCTAAATTCTAAGGGTAACAGCGGAAAGTGGTCAAAGCTAAAAGTAAAGAAGGAAGTGAGAGGAGGGGATGGCATAGTGGGAAGGAGGAGGAAATCCGAGAAGGCCGGAGGATAGAGGGTTTCCTTTGCTAAGGGTTCTGTGTATTCTGGTGATTTTCGGTAGTCTTTAGCCACTTGAATCAGAGTCTGTGATGAAAATGAAAGAAGAAAGAGCAAGAAGAGCAAGGCAGATTTAACTCTCCTTTGTTTCGTTTTCGTGCCTGCGGCTCTCTGTCCTTGGCACACGGAAGCCAGTTAGAAGACTCCCTTGGGCTCCTGCTCACAGCAGAGGTGCACAACCTTAAATGCACTTTGGAATAACCTGGGGAATTAAAAAAGTACAGATGCCTAGGTCTGTGCCACACAGTCTGATGTAATCCTTTTGGAGTGCAGCTTGGGCACCACAATTATTTTGAATGCTTTCCCACTGATTCTGATACACAGAAGAGGCTGAGATTTACTGGCTTGCTTAGAGTCTGGTTTTGGAAGGTGGTAATCATGGCTTCTACTCATCTGACTGTAAAGAAGCCGTCTCTGAAATGGACAAAAGGCGCATGGATCTCAAATCTACTGAGCTTCAGTCTTCCTCTCTCTTTCCTGCGTATCATTTTTGGAAAATGCAAGATCACTGTTTGAACTTTGTGAAACTTCACTGTTCTTTGCCCTATGAAAGGGGTGAAGGGAGAAGTCCAAAGTCATCAGCTAGGTTCACTGAGCTGGGCATTGACACAGGCTGAGTTCCAACAGCAGACAGGGGCAGGAGTTGCTAATGTGGTCTCACATAGGTTGGTTGGAAGGTGACACTCTTAGTCGTAAGCCTGAAGGAAGCATGCCTTGGCTTCTTGATTTGCTTCTGGAGACTGACCTAAAGCTGTGGATGGAGCTCCTCACAGAGCTCTTCTCTAATTCTAGAAGTTAGCAAGTGGCAGCTGTGTTTTTACCCCGTGTCTTTTCCTTGCAGTTGCCTGTACATGGGATGTAAGCTGCAGTTAGCTTTCAATTCACAGAATTCTTATCGTATTCAGAAACATCTAAAATGACCATAGATTTTGTCTTTTGCTCTAGGATTTCCATTAGAAGGAATGCAGGGGTGGTTAGGAGGGCCTGTTACTTGCTTTGCCATTAGCGACCCACGATACAGTGGAGAACTTCCTTGTCCTCTGGAAATTCTTTTCCTCGTCTGTAAGATGAGGGGGGAATGGGAGTGAGGCAGGGGCTGCCAGGCCTCCATAGTCAGAAGGATGTTGTTTCTATCAGTCTGCATGTTCATGCCTGCCGTTTATTTGTTAGAAGTTACCTCCCTTGTGCTAGAGCAGGATGGGAGATAAGGCAGGGGAAAGGACTTCCAGATTTGGAGTATGTTAGACTGGGGTTATTTGGGAAAACCAATCAGAACACACCTGAATTTATAACAGAACACATTCCCAATTAGCTTAAAAAAAATCAGACTTGAGAATCGGAGGAAAGCTAGAGAGCAAAATTAAAATAACCATAAAGGTCAAAGGTCGATGTCAACAGAGAGGAAAAGGGCTCCAATGCCCATCTTGATTGTACCTAAAGAAGACTCTGGGGTCCTCCTGTGATGGCCAGGCCTGGACAGTGACCTGGCAATTCTCATATTTGAGTACCAACAATGCTGAATGGATTGATTGAAAATGTGGGATGTCCCTGGAAGTGGTGGGACATGCCTGTAATCTTAGCACTTTGGGAGGCACAGGAAGGAGGGTTGCAAGTTTGAGCCCCACCTGGGCAGTTTAGTGACTTAGTGAGGCCCTGTCTCAAAATAAAGAATTTAAAAAGGGCTAGAGGTGTGTCAGTCAGTGAGAAGGTCCTGGGTTCAGTCCCCAGTACTGAAGCAAAAAAAAAAAGAAAAAAAAAAAAGTGAAAAAAACAAAAAAACAAAAACAAAACCCTGGGACATCTCAGCTGTCACATCTTCCTTCCAATTTCTGATTGGAGATATGCTCATAGATTAAGACAATCTATGTCTTCTGTCTATTTTCAGTTTAAGAAACAGTAATTTTTACTATTTCATCATATTCCAAGTACTGTCATAGGTACTGTTCTTATAAGAATCTTCTTGAGACCATACTCGTAAATGAAATAAATCTGAAACACGTGCATAAGTATCACCTTGTTTCTCTGTTGTGAAAAAATATGAAAGGGTAAATAAGGACCAAAATGTACAATAGATAATGTGAAATAGGAAGAAAGTGTTCACGTGGGAAGAGGCCCTAGGGAAGAGGGAAAGGAAAGGAAAAGGGGAAAAAAACAAGAAAAGAAAGATAAATGCAAACAAAGCTTTTGTAAATAAAGAGGGGAAGAAGGGCTGAAGGAAAGGGAAGGGAATGGGACAAAATAAGAATCAAGATACATCACGTACAGATACACATTCCATATGATGGATGTGATCACTATGGACACCTACATTGTATCAATAAACTCAATTAATAAAAAGGAATCTTATAACCCAACTGATTACTACTTTATCCGCCGCTAAGTGGGTACCATACAGCATGACAAGCCGTTTTCACATTATCCCCTTTGTCCCTTGTGCCATTTATTCATGATTTATTTTATCCATCCGAGTGACAATTTTTCAAAGAATTAAAATATTTAGTGTCCGTGAGAATGTGGAGAACGAGATGCTCTCATAAACGCATGATAAAAATACAAATTGGGATGGCCTTTGTAAGAGGTGGTTTGGCAATACTATGTATACCCATTACAGCCTGGAGAAAGTGATCCTATGACAGTGCAAAAATATTTATTTGAGAAATAGTCATCACAGCATTATTTATCAAAGTAATTTGAAGCATTTTATACGCTCAGTGACGAAAGGCTGTTTAAATTAAATTATGGTACGGGTGCTAAGCAACCATTAAAATTACATTATAGAAGTAAAGAATATTTAATGGGGTGGGGAAATGTCATTTCCATAGATACACGAAAAACCACAGGCTGTTGTAATAGTCAACAAATACTTATTAAACGTGGAGTAGTAAGACAGGCAGATCCCAGACTCCAGAAGGTTACATGTAACGGGGTGGAAGGCTTTGTCCAGCAGTGGTGGGATGTTGCAGGGTGTACACTCGAGAAGACTGTGTCCAGTGTGCTGTGTGTCCCTGAGGACGGGAGTGGGGTTAGGGAGCACATGTCTATAGAGGTAAATACACCATGAAGATCCGAGCATTTTAAAAAAGGCTGACATATAGATGCCAAAATGATGTTGCTATCGCTGAATAAAGATAGCACACTTGATGCCTTTTGTAATTTTTTTATTTCCCTCCATTAGTATGTATCATAATACCCTTACAGTGAGAATATATATGTATATAAAAGGCATATACGAATCTTAGGAAAGTTGGACTCCATTTTTATTCATGGCTTTAATTTTTATTTCACATTTTTCTTTAAATTCGTCACCCTACTTCTACTGGCCAGCAACAATAAACAAAAATAAACCAACGAAAAAATCATGTCTCCACCACTGTCAGAGAAAAATAAACGTCTGCATATAGAAGCCTGTATTTTAGAACCGATACGTGATGTCTTCTCTTGTAAAGACTGTTCCCCCGACGAGGTTATAGAACACTAATGAAAAGTGAAGCGCTGCTTATTGTATTTATTCGGGGCCTGCTGATTTGCTTCTCTTAAAGCCAGTCAGATTAATTTTTGTTTCTGGATGTGTCAACACACAGTCTTTCATAAGGTTGAAATAGAAAAGAGACTAAAAATATTTCATGAAGGAGGCAGCCTGGACTGTATAGATTCAAGGCCTGTATTCTGGTAATTCTAGAGGGACTTGTGGGTGGCAGACCCTGAGCCCCCACAGAAACCGCCTTCTCTCTTTTCTTCTGTCCTCACTCATCGCTAGTGTGCTGCCATTGTCCTATTCAGTTACAACCCGTTTTAGCCCATCTTGCTTATTAACTGCTGATATGCACGGGCGTTATGCGGCTCTCACCCTCTGCGTCCTTTGGCTCTGGTGACTCTCCTGTGCCTTCCTGTTGTTTGGCCTGAGTGGCCCCTCTAGCAGCCAGTAAGGGTGCCGACTGCTGACCTAGAAGAAAGGATCACTAGCAGTTAGCGGACACTGATAATTCTCCCACCTCTTTCATTGTCATTGGAAGCAACTTAAACTTGACTTGCACTAGTTTGATAGAGAAGCAGAAAATTAACTTACCTGTATTTTTCGTTGTGTAGCTGTGATGGGTGATGGAAAGAAGGATAATACCTGTCCCTCTGGTAAAGTCCCCTGTGTTTGTCAGATGTCTTGCTGGTGAGAGTCTAGATGTCTTCTCTTCACACAGTGACAGGTAGTGGGCACCCGTGCTTTGAAAAGTGAATTGAACCGGAAACATCAGCTCTTTCTCCAGTCGCTGACCAGCTTCACTGTACCACTTTACTCTTTTACTTTCTGTGCATTGGGAAGAAGAAGAAAGGCTCTTTCTTTGAAGTGGCTCCTTTCCTCAAGACAGTGCTATAGACAGTGCACTCCACAGTAAGAGCATAGGATGACTGTGTGGATCGGAGACAATGTTCAGGGTCATGAAACAAGTTTTAGAAATTAATGCTGTTTGAAATCTTATGAATTACCTTCTGTGGCCACTCAGAATTAAACAGAACTATATCTGGAAAATACCCAAAGTTTTTAAATTAAGCAATAAATTTCTAAACAATACATCAGTCAAAAGGAAAGCACAAAGGTCATTAGGAAATATTTTGGACTAAATTAATATAAAAAGCAACATATTAAAATGTGTATAATACAGCTAATACAGGCTTGGGGGACATTTGTAGAATTAAAAGTCTATATTAAAAAAGACAAAAGGTCTGCAGTCAATGATCTAAGCTTCTACGTTAAGAATTTAGCAAAAGAAGAGCAATATAAACCAAGAATAAGCAGAAGAAAGAAAATTATAAGGTGAGAGGAAATCATTGAAGTGGAATATGGATAAAGGAAGGAGAAAATCAATAAAACCTAATGCTTAATCTTTGAAAAGATCAATAAAATTGATGAACATTATGCAAAATTAACTAAAAAGTAAAGGGGTGAAATATAAATTACCAGTAGCAACATGAAAAAGGGACACTACTATTGATTGTACATAAATTAAAAAGCCAATAAAAGAATACTAGAAACACCTTTATGTCAATACATTTGACAACTTCGGTAAGTAGACAAATTCCTTAAAAAATAAAAACCTAATAAGCTTACTCAGGCAAAAAAGATCATCTGAATGACTCGAAATCTATCAAAGAAGTGGGATTCCTGGGTATAAATCTTCTCCAAATGTAATGTTAGGCCCAGATGCTTCACTGGTAAATTCTACCAAATGTATGAAGAATGATCCTACACAAAATTTTTCAGAAAATAGAACAAAGTGGAACATTTTCTAACTCATAATTACAATTTCCTTGGAACAAAAATGAGACAAAATATTACAAAACATCTATATGCTGTTATTCCTCATGAACATGGAAGGAAATATCTTCAACAAAGTATCAGTGCATAGAAATTCAACAAGATATAAAAGAGATCCAGCATTATGTCCAAGAAGTGTTGAATATCAGTAATTCTATATTGGTTTAACATATGACAATCAATCAGCATAATTTACCATATTAATAAGAAAAAAGGAGAGATTAAAAGCTATTGCCATCTTATTAAAAAAATTCAACATTCAGTCATAATAAGGATACTCAACAGATTGAAAAATGGAAGAGAACTTCTTCAGTTTCATATCTATGAGAAGCCTGTACCTGACATCATGTTTAAAATTGGAAGACTGAATACCCTGAGGCTATGAACAAGACAAGGATTCTCTCTTCACTACTTCCACTCAGCATTGCACCAGTGATTTAGCACATAGGATAAGACATGAAAAGGAAATAGAAAGATACTGATTGGAAAGGAAGACATGAAACTATCTTCTCATATATGACATGATATTTTATGTAGAACATACTAAGGGAGATGTATAAGATTACTAGAATTTACATCAATTAGGAAGGTCACAGAGTATAAAGTGAACATACAAAAATCTGTTGTATTTTTATATGTTAGCAGAGGATGATTATAAATTTAGCAAACTTAAATGAAATACTGTTTACTTGTATAGTTGCATCAAAACCAGAAAACATATATGGATAAATATAACAAAATACACAAAAAATATCTACACATACAAAATAACCTATAAAGCACTATTAAGAAAAATTAAAGATTTAAGTAAATAGAAAGATGTACTATGCTGTGTGCTTATGGGTCAAACAAGTACCATTTAAGATTTAAATTCCCTTCGCCTTATTGTTTAGATTCATCTTAACCCCAGTAAAAATCTCAATAGGACTTTATCTCAGTGGAATTACTTTCTGGTAGAAAGTGATGTTATTATAAAAAGTTGATAGACATACAAAGAACCTATAATATAGTCAATATACTTTAAAAAAACAAGTTGGAGAACATACATTACTTTATTTAAAACTTACTGTAGAGTTACAGGAATAAGAACAGTGTGGTACTGGACTAAAGACAGACATATAGCTCCATGGGTCAGAAAGTGGTTTAAAAATGGATTTCATGAGTTGTGACAAAAAAGTACAGTGACTTTAATTTTTAAAAAACGTTATTCCAATAAAAGACACATCACCCGTAATATTTCTCAAAGTACTCCCCCTTACTTCAAAACACACTAATCCCATCATTCTTGCCACTTTATGAAGCAGTTCTGGAAGCCTCTTTTTGAAGTGTCTTTCGTTGCACTGTTATGGCTACCTTGATGTCCTGAATTGATTCAAAACATTTACCTTTCATAGTCTTCCCCAAAGTCACATACATGTGGTTCCAGATACAGTGCATAAGATGGAGAAGGACACACAGTGATGCTTTTATGGGCCTGATTGTCCACTGGATGGCACTTGGCAATGGCAATCACTTCATTTTTTATCACACCTATTAAAGACACTCGCGAAAGAGGACGTCCAGAACTGCTTTAGGAAGTGGCAAGGATTATGGGATAAATGTGCTTGAAGTGAGAAGTTTATCGAGGGGCATTAATGGCAATGTGCCTTTTGTTATAAGATTATTTATCTTTAAACCCACACTGTATATTTTGACCAGCCCTTGTACTTATATGTTCAATTACTTTTCAGTGACGATACCAGGGTAATTCAAGGGAGAAGAAGGCTATTCAACAGTTGGTTCTGAAACAACTGAATACCCATATGGAAAAAGAAAAGAACTCCTCAAAGTGTCTTTAAGGAATTGAAAGTAGAAATTATAGATTGTGTACTTTGGGTGTTATTCAGATAAAGATTTAAACTCGAGTCACTAAATCAGTTATCAAAGAAAAGACTTTGTCCCTACATCAAAAGATTGACAGGAGCCAGGGATTCAGCTCAGTGGTGCCACTGCCTGCCTCGCAAGCACAAGGTCCAGAGTTCAATCCCTAGTCCCAAAAACAAAAAAAAAAAAAAAAAAAAAGAAAAGAAAAAAAAAAGATTGACAAATACATGCATATGTACATATCTTCATTTAAAATAAAATGCAAAAGGAATAAATATTTCTTACTTTCATAGACGTTTTCTATGTGTCCCATCTTGTTAGATAAGAGGATTTCTATCATAACGCTTTTTTTCTATAGTTATGAGACTTAATGGTGGTGTTAAACCGCTTGGCATGTAGAATCTTCTCAAAATATTTAATTTGAGGTGTTTTTAGTATTTCCACATACCTAAATTTCTTTTCTTTCCTAAATGGGGGCCTCACTAGGCTAGTGTTTATAACCCTTCTGACTCAACATCCATATAGCTGGGATTACAGTGTGCAGCACCAGAAATGGGTCATGTTTTCATTTGCGAATGTTTATCCTATGTAGCCTTCTCAGATTTAACTCTACCTGAGTGGCTTTTCTCAGTGGGCACACTGCATCCTACAAGCTAGACACAAGTGCATAGACTGTGTCCTGTATTTATGTATTACCCCCAAAACTACATTCCAGGTTTGAATCTTTGACTACTGCTTAACTTACTGAGAGGGTGGAACTAGCTTACAGATGCTTTTTGAAAATCCATTAGATTATCTCATGGGATCTTATGTACTATTATATTTTTTCACACCAGAGAAACTATTTGGTATTTACATGTGTGACTTATTTATTTCACTTCGGAGTATATCCTCAATATGTATCCATTTTCCTATGAATGAATGAATCTAATTGATGATGTGAAATAGGAAGAAAAGGGCTAAAGGTGTAGGGAAAGTGGGAAGGGTAGGGGAAAGGTATATAAGGGAAAAGAAAAAAATATGAGAAAATAAAAAAATGGAAATAAAATGTTTGTAAATGGGGGGGGGGGGACGGGAGGGCAGGGAAAAGGGGAAAAAATGAGAACCAAGACCTGTCATGTAAAGGTACAAGATCCCAATAATGAATGTAACTGTACTGTATACTTAAAATGTATCAATAAATTTAATTTAAAAAATAAATTAAAATAAACATAAAAAAATCCATTAGATTATATGATTCCCTTTGATCAAATATTAGAACAGTGGCACCATTTTCAATCAAATGTGTTATAAATATGATTTCATCACTTTTACAAAATCTTCTGCCTCTCTTTTTGCATATCTAGATTCTTCTCAATGCTCCTGTGTTGAACACTTATGAGATTTTAAATCCAATGTTTTAGTAAATACTTATAATACAGAGGGCAGGATAGACCGACTGAGAAAATGAAATTGTTTTAAAACAAATGTAATTGCTTTGATTCTTTTGAACTGTTACCTCATATATGCTACACCTAGGACATAGTTCATGGATAGGATTGAAAATATTTGTAGCCAGCTCCACATGTATTCATTGCCTCCCACACTTATTCTTCTTCCCTTTCCTTCCTTTCTTCCCTCCTTCCCTCCTTCCTTCCTTCCTTCATTCCTTTCTTTCTTTCTTTCATTTTTATTTTTTCCCCTCTGTACTAGGAGTTGAACTCAGGACCTCATGCTTGCTAGGCAGGAGCAGTGCCACCAAGCTACATCCCAGGCCTCGCTTCCGTACTTACTCTTGTAGTGGGGAAAGTTATTAATGCTTAGAAGTCTTAAATGATCTAAGAAAGACTTTTTTAATTTTAAGTTTGGTTGGTAGAAAAAATCTGGCCCAGGTTAGAATGATGTTTGAAATTCCAGTAATTCATTAGTACACTAGATTGTAAACTATTTCATCATAGTGGCTGGATCTTTTTGAGTAACATATGGCCCCAAAGGAATATTTCCTGATGCCGGGCACTAAAGTTTTCTTAAATGACCATATAACTCAGGTCACTACACTGGAGCAGGACCCAAGCAAAAGTGGAAATTTGTTGCATGACCTCGCTACTTCCTTTTCCATAGCACTTCTCTGCCTTCTGCTTTCTCTCTGGTACCAGTCCCTTTCTATTAAATAGCTCCTGATAATGATTAACTTAGCCTTTGCATATGATGCATTTGTCAGATGTTTGGACTTTCACAGCATCCACTTAAAAGGAGAAGGATGTACTTCATAGTGCAAATTTGCGGCTAGGAATCATCTCTCCAAGTGTGTGGCGGACACAGTGTAGGATGTGCATAAACTGTACAGTGTATGAAAGTTTGCAAGGCCCTATCCTGGGAGCGACTGTTACTCTATTCCTTGGTTTCAGAGAACCATAGTGACATTGCCTGAGGTGCTGGAGAAGCTCCATGTAAGAAATGGCATTTGAGTTAGGCCCTGAACAATAAACAATGAGATTATTTTCAGTTTGGAGGTGATTCAGGGTAGGAGACAGCAAGAGAAAGGGGAGAAATAAGAAAGCATTACAGAAAAATGGAACAACAGTATGAGGAGAAGTACAGAGATGAAACAGCTGGGTGTATTTTAGGAACATCAAGCATTTCTGGGTAAATGGGGCAACATTACAGAGCAGGAAGTAGAAGGAGATTAGAAAGGAAAGCAAGAAAAAATCCATTGGGGGCAGATTGTAAAGGGCCTTGTATGTGATGCAAAGGAGTTTCATCCTTGTCCTGTGGGCAGTGGAATTTAAGAGAGTTTAGAAAGCTCTCCTCAGTAGTGGTGAGGAAGGTGAACTTTTGTGAGCAAGGAGATTAGTTATGTGGCTGGTACAGAAATCCAGCCAGAAGATAGTAAAGGCAAACAGGAGAGATCAGGAGAAGGGGGTGCTTTTTACAAATAGCTAAAAGATGGAGTTGATAACATTTAGAGATCAAATTCTTCCTCACCCAGTTCATTTATGCATTACTCTAATCCACTTTTATCTGGACCCCTAATGTAGGCTATATATTATGTTAAATGCTTGAAAAACAAATAGGACAAATTACTCCTTTCCATAATGAGCTCAAAGTTGAGTGAGGTAGGTTGACATTTCACAGTTGAAACACAGCAAGATGAATGCTGTAAGGAGGAGCAAAGTGAGCTGTTGGAATCAGAATGAAAAGATTTCTAAGCCAAATTAGGGAATTCAGTGTTTCACTATATCCTAAACACTTGGGTGAATTGGGGGAAACTACTAAGTGCTTAATAAATATTTATTGAATTAGCAAATGAGCTTTAGTTGGTGGGTATATGGGTAGAGGATGAAAACTTCTTTGCACTTTATTGTAGAACAAAGAAAGGAACTTTCTCTTGGTTGTATAGATGGAAAGGTCAAAATATATAGGGTTGTATCCCAGGTAGCAGAAGGTATTGCACTCAACATTTGGTTGTAGATCTAGCTGCTTCTCTCAGTAGGATTGATGGGGACTCCACTGACGGTCATAAGCCTCTGAGAGCTAGCTAGAAAGAGTAGGATCAGGATAGCTATTTGTTTCCCTTTTGATATCCCTTAGAATTCAGTAATGTCTTTCAGAAAATCCAAGCTTATTTGATTGAAGATGAGGTAAACTAAGAGAGAGGCTTTGACTAATCCAGAGATTCAAGGACACCTGATCCACCCAGGATCAGGAACCAAGTGGAAAGATCTGGTGTAAGGTGGAACTTCACTGCAGTGAGTTTAGCTTGCTTATTGTTGACCTTAGATGTTCTGGATTTCACTTTATTAAGGGAAGTGGACCAAAAACACGTTCGGAATCCCAAAAGAATTTTTTTGGCAGTTTGCTTAGTGTTAAAACTTGACCTTATATAAAAATTTATTTTACAGTACTCATTTTCATGCTTATGGGAGAAACATTTATATGCTAAGTTACAGAGTAGGTTTCGCCTCAGACACACATTAAATAGTATTAAGTGATTCTTGGTAAATATAACCTAATTACTGTTTTAAAATCTGAAAATATTTGAAATACTAAACACATTTTGCTTCTAGAATCTTACTTAAAGAGTTGTGGATTTACATTTCCTTTCTTAGATTAATAGAAGCTTTTGGACAAGTTAGCTGTGTGTTGATCATTTAAGGTGCATAGAACCTTGTTCTGGATCTAAGTGGGGGGTAGTATTGTCTCCTGCATTAGTTTGCCAGACAGATATAACAAAATACCTCAAACAGTGGCTTAAATGAGAGAAATTTAGTGTCTCAAGTGTAGCAGTCCAAGAGCCCAAGATCAAGCCAGCTTTGGTTTCTCCGCAGGCCTCTAGCCTTGGCTTGCTGCTGGCTACCTTCTATGTCTTCATGTGGTCTTTCCTCTGTTTGATCACATCTGTAGTGTCTCTTTGTATGTCTATAGTTTTTCTTCTTATAAAGACACCAGTCAGATTAGATTTGGTCCATCTTAACGGCCTCATTTTAAGTTAAAGGCCCTAAATCCAAATATAGTCACATTTGGAGGTGCTGAGACTTAAGCTTTCAGTGTACCAATTTTGTAGGGACGCAGTTCATCCTCAAACCTCCATGAGGTTTTAGACAATGTGTGAATGTATTCTTTAGAGGTTGCAATGGCTACAGAATACATCTCTCACTTATTAGGCAGGCCATGGCTGCTACAGCCTGTTGCAGTGGTTGGAAACCTATGGCACCCATGTTATTGTGTTTTTCTTTTAAGACAAAAGCTGTTAATGCATGAGTTGTTTTTCTAAACGAAAACATCAGTATTCAGGTTTAATTGCAATGTTGGCACTTTATAATAAATAAGTGGGTTTGGGGTGGTGGTTTGGGGGCTCATCTTCAGATGATTCACCATCATAGGACCTGTAGTGTAAGATAGAGCCCTACTTCATGAATGGTGTACCTCAAAGGCTAACGGTATCAGTGTTGGTCGGGAGAGTCCCTGGGATAGAGTCTGCCATGATGATTCTGTCTCATTTGGAAAGTGGAGAGCTAGAAATCTTCAGGGTAAATGGTAAATTTATATAAATAAACAGGGTAAATGTTCTCTCCCTAAATAGACTTTCTGACTCTCCCCTCTTCACTCACCCTTTAGTTGGTTCCTTCGAGCAGCGTTCCAGAATCCTGTGAAGCAGGTACTGCAATGAACCTGCCATATAAAGGTAGAATTGGATTGTTGTCTCTCCAGCCTATAAGAATAATGAGAAATTTGTGCTTTGTATGTTTCCCCCAATATCTGTAACTCTTATACTGAAATAATACCCCTTTTTAGAAATAAATCCTGCCTTGCCTTTAGGCTTGTGGTGGTATGAAATGAAACTGCATGCAGAGCTTAGAAACAGTGCTCAGACAGCCAGTGCATGAGTTAGAAGCAGGGAAGGTGCCTCTGGCTAAAATAAGTTCTGGCGTCTTCCTAGAAAGCCCTTTGATTCCAGCATGCCCCCCCTTTCCCACTGGATCCTTTGCTGCCCTTTGGTAAAAATGATGGGAGCAGGACGATTCAAACTCCTTCACGTTTAAAACATTGAAATGCTTTGCAAATATTATCTTAATCGTTAGTGCTGTCATAGGGTATTAATTAAATTACAAACCGATGTTTCATGCATCATTCCAATGATAAGAGTAACAACAAAATGAGCCTAATTCTGTAGGTATTCACTGCCAAGACAGTGCTTCATTTAAGATTTCTTGAGTCATGCTGAATTATTCAGGGTTCTTTTTTACAATTTTAACATCTAGAAACCCCCCCCAAAACAGTAACAATTGCCACTACAATGCATAAATAAAAATGAATAATTCAAAACTCCTCTTATTTTACTCCTCCTTGTCTAAGTTTGTCTGATCTTGACTGCTTACCATTTCACAGTAGAAGGCAGAGGAAAGTAGGCAGAGGAAAATTCTCAGGTACAGAAATAGAGACATAGAAAGTTTTAGTGGTTTGCCCCCAAAAGACCCAGAAGAACCATTCTTGAACTACTGTAAACCCATGGTCTGGAGTTCTCACAACATTTTTTCCAATCAGCAATTTCCAAAGCTTTCCTTTCTTGTCTTCCCTTTCAACAAGTTCACCAGCAACTGTATCTCCAGGTTGTTCTCAGGTGCAATGCTTTTTTGGGCATCGCAGATGTGCTTGGGTCAGTGCCCCAAATTCATTTTAAATTGGGTGGAGAAAGAACTGAAAACAGGCCTGTGAGTCTGGGGTTCCAGCTGCAATCCTGTGGCTGATGTGCAGGCATGCTGCTGGGCCTAGAGAATTTTGCTATGCCTTGTCAAGTTCCCAAGCATCTGCTGGCTAACAGGCTTCCTGACCTTTGGTTTGCTCCTGGTCAATGGGCATTGCTCCAGCTAAGCAAGAGAGCACATTGCACAGACAGATTCCAGACCAGTACCCTGCTTGCTGATTGTCACTCACTCCCTTAGAGAAATCCAAGAAAAAAGCACAGGGGATGCAAAGCTTGCTAAAGAGTCCAAGGTCTCTTCTGTAGAATTCTTTCCCTGATTCTAGGAGGTCAATTTCTAACTTCTACTCTTTTTCACAATCATGACCAAGGGATAGAAGTGGAAAAAATCTACAATTGCTACCTAACCTTCAATTGGCCATCAGTGGTAAAGCCTGTGGAAGAGCCTCTTGGATGCTGTAATGGCTAATTAAAGCTTTCATTTATTTGCTGGCATTTTAGGCTGATAAGAGAAGATACAGAGCCCAATAGATGGGATTAGTAGGCTCATCGTTTTAATACGTTACTTGGCAAGGTTTTTTGATTTTTCAATTTAAGTGTTGACTGTTAGTTCTTTGGATTTTTATTTTTCCTTTCTTTAACTCCTGTAAAAGAGGAATAAACAGATTTTTTTCTCTTCTTTTAAGGATATATATATATATGTGTGTGTGTGTGTGTATATACATACACACATATATATCTCCTTCTCCAGAGTAATTGTTGGCTAGGACCTCACTGTCTCAACATGTTTTATCATTTGTGAGGGAGCTGGGGGCATTGTGATATGGAGGTGGGTGTTGGAGAAAAAAAGGGAGAGATGCTTTAGCTTCAGAGGGCCTGACAGCACAGAGTCACTGAGAGCTGTTTCCATGGCAGTGCTATGGAAACCAGGTTCTGCCGCTCACTCCTTCCCAGGGTGGAATTTCCATGCTTCATATAGCATGGGCTCCAGAAAGGCCTGGTGACATCCTATCCAATCTGTGTCTTTTTCACTGCATCCTCATTGTAAGCTACTGTTCTGGCCTTTTAGAAGTGGGTTTGGGGGAGCAGAAAACGTAGGACTCTACTACAAAACACTGAGAAAGACTAAACTTTAGATTTTCTACATTCTTCTCATAGGATAGAGAGGAAAGTTGGTTTTACTCCATACCTGTTGTCATTTTTATAAGCATCCACTTTTCTGGGTTCCATTTTATAGCTATTGTTAAATTTCATAGTATTGTAGTGATCAGTTCTTGGCACCTATGTTTTCTTAACCCAATAACCTAGGGGTACAGGATCTTCTCCCTGAGAGCCTGTCATTTCTATATCTAGCCACGTGTGGTACACTCATCTTTCAGGTGAACATACATGGCAGTTTTCATAAATAAGGACCAGATGGAAGATCATGAATCACTATAAATTCTTCTTTACTCTGTAAATGGCTCTCAAGTGTGTGCACCGCTGGCAGTATGATTGTGGCATCATTTCATACATGGAGAGGTGCTGGGGTGTGTGTGTCATTGCATGAGTGTGTGTTTGTGTGTGTGCGTGCGTGTGCATGACATTAGGTCTGTTGACATAGGAGGTTGATTCCACTTGCAGTTATCCCCTACTTGTGTTCTTTTAATGGAAGATTTTTGTATAAGGAGTGACATCAAACAAAGCTCATGAATACAAGTATCAGAGGAAAAAATGTTAAAGTCTACTGGCACAATTTTTAGCATGGAAGAAAGACAATACAGGAGTATTTTAACCCTATCTTTTCATTTCAGAAATAGGCATCATGGACATTCATGAAGAACATGGGGCAAGATTTTTTTTTTTTACATTGAGAGCTTATTTTGTTAAACTTTAAAAACTGACAATTTTGCTTTTCTCTGGTTTTCATATTATACAGGAACATCCCTAGAGGGCCTTTATTAGAATGTGAATGCATCTTTTCTACAGTCCATTCTAGCCTAGTGTCTCCCCCTGCCAGATAATAGGTACTTCTTTATATCCTTATTTCCTGTCTTGATATCCAAGCTGCCCTTAATTATTTTTAATCATTTTCTGCTAAAGGAATTTTTAAATCCCTGGATACTCAGTGACTATTTTATAGTTACAGTATGAGGAGTTCCTATATGTATTTCTATCATCTGTTTTCATAATGTTGCATTACAGTTTTGTCTTTGACATTTGAATGGTGCCTGTACTGAATTCAGTGCTGATCCATATATTGTGTGTGTGTGTGTGTGTGTGTGTGTGTGTGTGTGTGTGTGTGTTTATTTGAGAGGTTGTTGCCTTGTGGTTCAATCTCAATACTACTACACTGATTTGATTCAGGGAAAAGTTATCTTAACCATTCCTTAAACATTTGCTACCAACCTGACTTTCTCATTCATTTATTCAACCAATATTTATTCATCTATTCTTTCATTCTTGTAGCACAGATATTTCCTATATACATCACATTGTGCCATGTATGGGTCATGTCAGAGAAGCCTACCATACATTATACAAAGTTGAACCATAGGTAGTTGCTGATACTGTACTGTTTTTCACCTATAAAAGGTCAATTTTTATAAAATTTAACCTGAGATAAAAGTACAGTATAAACAAAATCTAGAAAAACAAGGTTGACATTTACAGAGAGATTAACAAAATCAAAGGGATGGAAGTAAAGGGAAAAGTTGAAAATAATATTCACAGACAGGAAGCACTAGAAAGTATGAATCTAGGCCTCTCAATGCTCTGAAGCTGCTACAGTGATCAATCCAGTGGCCAGTCGTGACATGTGGCTACATAAATTTCAATTAAAATTAATGAAAATTAAATAAAAGTAATTAAATTCTCAGGTATATGAACCATAGTTGAAATACTCAATACTCATGTGTGACATTGGCTATGATATTGGACTGCACAAGTACAGAACATTTCTGCCATCACTGGAAGTTCTATTGTATCGTCTAGGAGAAATTTATCCTGGAAAAAACAGATGAAGGAAACTTAAACTTCCTCATGAAAATCTGCAGTGGGAAAGAAGAAGTTGCTTTAGTGGCTTGAAGGAGGCTCTGGCCATTCACAGAAATCCATTGGGTGTCTTCTTAGCTACTGAGTCTTGTTGCTGTTTTGTAACTGCTAGTGACTACAACCATTTGGATTTGGAATGTCCCCCATAGACAAGTGTGTTAAAGGCTTGGTCTTCACCCCATGGTGCTATTAGAAGATTGAGGAACCTATAAGAGGTGGAATCTACTAGCAGGAACCTATGTTATCAGGGCCATGTGCTTAGAGGGAATATTGGGATGCTGGCCTCTTCCTGTATTACAATGTTCTGCCTTACCACAAGCCCAAAAGCAATAGGCCAACAAACAGTGGACTGAAACTGTGAGCAAAACCAAAACTTTCCTCTTTTTAATTTGATTGTTTCAAATTTGTTACAGTAATGGAAAACGAACACAGTAGCCCAGTGAAATATTTCACAAATCCTACAACATATAACATAAGCATCACATTAGGGGGGAAAAAAGCATGTGCCTTACAGCGATTTTGTCCTTTGCTGGCCATCTTAGCTAACCCTAAAGACTAACTACCTAGCCCTTTTCTCTCAGTCCCTCTCCCTGAGAATTGTGCATACCGAGGAATTCACGAATGGGGCTTTTTGCCTGACTCTGTGTCCACATCTTTTGAAAGATTTTGTATGAAATATCAGTTCCTAAGTCCAAACACTTTCCAGTTTCCCTGAAAACCAAACATTTGATCCCAACTCTAAATATCTGCTATTTCCTTTCTTAGAAGTTCTTGTTAATGGTAACTCTTCCATTTCATTTAAAAGGAGCCATTTTGGGGAATCCTGAAGTGGTGACACAATGATCATTTTACCTTTGAGTCATTGTCTGTGTTGTCCTGAAAACCCAGCCCCCTGTGCATCACAACACACATAGAGACATGCACACTGAATCCTGTGGTTGTCATGGTTGTTTAAAGGGAAGGCTGTCCAGCTTAATTGGAGCAAAGACAGTTTCTTGAGAAAGCCAATCTGTGTGCTCTGTTTTGTGAGATTGAACATGTTTGTTGACATGGATGTAATCACTTCAAAAATGAAATGTATTCTAACTTGTTCGCTTCTTTTATTCTACATCTTTTTGAATGAATTAGTACTTTGGAGTTAGGCAGACTCAAGTCTACCTCCTATATAAGTGAGCTCTGGCAAATGTCTTCACCTTTCTGACCTTCCACTTCCTCTTATGCTAATAGG